AAGATGGAAGAAGATATCAAAGCGATTCCGCAACTTCGAGGAAAATAGCGTATTTTTAATATATGAAAAATGATCTGGGTGCGCAAGGCATCTCGGTTGAAAATGGGCCTTTAAGAGGATCAGCTGAATTCTATCGTGACAAAGCAAAATTCTCCAAACTCCCCCTCCCCCCTCCCTTCTCCCAGACAAAAATAATGACATATCCCTAATTATTGGTGGGAAGTTATTCAATTATAAGCATCGGATATATTTGTTTTAAACCGCAGTTTAACATGAAGGAAATGAAGGAAACTTTTAAAATCTCCGAACAGAGGAGTCTTAACACGCTTCCCACACTGATATCAAGGGGTTGCCCTACAACCATATGGAACTGAAACTGTGTCTGCTATGCAATCCTTAATTCAAACAACCAAAATGGTTGATTTTGCCATGTTTACAAATCTAGGTCATACAAAGTAAAAAATTCTGACACCGTTTTTATACTTTTGTTTTTTGCAGTTTTGAGTTGCAAGGAGGCTTATGAAATGAACACGAAAGTCAAAGGAAAAGATGGAAAAGTAGGCTTTATTGCAAAAGTATGAGCACAACAAAAAAAGCTGAACATAAATAGATATATGAATAAAAATAATGATACCAAAATATATTGTGACAAAACCTTTTCCGTGGATGGTCACATATTGGTGACAAAACCTTAACCGTGGATAGTCACTTATAGGTTCGAATAAACTGAAGCTTTCCTTGTGAAACACAAGGAATACTAAGGGGAAAAAGAAAGTGAGCTTGAGCAGTTTCTTGGTAAAGTTTGAAAAGAAGATCATTATGGCGTGATCAGATAATTTCAATGTTATGGGTTACTTTTCCTTGTCCGTTTTTTGGAGAGCGAAACGGCAATGGACTCTTATTCACTTGTTATTAGATGGCAACGTGAAAAAAAAGAAAAGATTGATGGCGTAAGTTAGAGCTCTCTACGGACTGACTGAAAAAACTCAACTAACATAAAGAAAGATAATGATGAAAACAAGGAGACAGCACTCCCCTCGGAAAATCAATTTACAAAAGTATGGTGTCTTGGATTGCTCAGCTATGTAAATTGCAACGGTTTCTTATACCCTTTACTTGACTTATAAATCGATGTGGCATTTTAAGGCTTAGCGTCAAAATGTGGGTAATGAACAACAATTCATTTTTTATTAATGACACTTCATTTATCATTACCTGTAGTATCACACTCTATAAATTATCTCTAGAAAACTAAAGCGAATGGTGAGATTACGTTGCTCGTTGAATCTAAACCAGTACCCATTTTCTGTCACATGGAAAATTTTGGATGCGGAGATGGAGGATGGACGCCAGTCATGAAAATGAAAGGAAGCAAGGTCAGTTTTTCCCATCTTCTTCCTTTACGGTCTCAATAGAAAACAATCTGTGATGAATCTCACTTTTGGAAGCCAACCAAACTTGTTTTTCCCATCTTAGATAGATCAAAGATGCGGGTTTGATTATTGGGAAAGTTTTATCATGGACAACGTATCCAAGACATTTTCTTCTCTTCCTTTAAATGGGGTAATGAATCAGACAAAAATCTTCCCTTCATCGTGCGAACTTTTCACCTTTCCGAAAATACTATCGACCAAGAAAAATATAGACGGGCGAGAAGTTAGAAATCCCTGACAACGGAAGCGATTGGACAACATTGGAAAGCGTGTACAATAGCAATATTCACAAACAAACTCCTTCATAACTATATACCCTAAACATATCTATTCAATTACCTTTAGACAGAGTACATACAACTATACATCTCATGACATAAGCAACACCTAGTATAAGATGATGGCGTGCATTACCCTACCTGGGATAGCATTTTCATTCACTTTGATTCAAAAGCAAATTAAACTCAATAATGTAAGAATGGTTGAGCATCAGGCCTTATCTGAAAATGGTAATTCGTAAATGGCCCATTGCTTACTCAAATATTGTTTATACAGGTTATTAACCAAGCGTGAGGTCAAGATGGCTGGATATTGGCCGAGTTCTTTTTTTGCATAATTACTGTTCGAGACGAGGTCGAGGTCCATAAAAATGCGAAAAGTGGCTAATATCCAGCCATCTTGACCGAACAAGCTTGGTTTATAAAGGATTTGTTATATCGAAAAAAGGATTTCGCTTTATTAAGAATTAGTAGACTTATTTACTTCGAGAGCCCAGAGAGAAAGCCAACTGTATTTGTAGCACAACAAATTCACGAGAGTCGTTTCTGTTTTCTTTGTTTTGACGACCATTGCCACTTTTTGCGTTTCCATCGCCAAAATTATCCAAGAATTACGAACGTAGTTCTAATTCAATTTTTTTCATGCGTAGGATCAATGCGGGCAATACATACATACATACATACATACACTTTATTGAGCATCCCTGATATTAAAAATAGTAAAACTAAATAAATAACTTAATAAATATATAATTTCATATTACTTATATATTACTTAATTACTATATGCAAACAACAATTATCATCCAAGATCGTTCGTGTTGCAGATCAGTTCATTAATTAAAGGTCTCCTAAAGACCTTACAGTACTCGTGATTTTCCTTAAATCTTTACTTGAATTATTCCATACTTTTACGCCACGATAATAAAACGCGCGTTGCCCAGCATTGATTCTACTAGATGGAATATTTAAACTATTTCTATATCTCGTCTGTCTATCATGAATAGTCGCTCTAGTTGAAAATTTATTTCACAGATAACTAGGTGACCGTCCTTTGAGACATTTGTGCATCATAACTGTATCATTTTCCATAGTCTTTGTTTGACATGTAGCCATCGAAGTGATCTTAAACCTGCAGAGATATGCTCATATTTGCGGAGTCCCAAGATAATCCTGGCTGCAAAATTTTGAACAAGTTGAAGCTTGTAAATATTAGTCGCAGGAGTATTGCTCCACACTCCACATCCCGAGTGGGCAAGATGGGTCCATCTTACCCGCTCTGGTAGCCAATCAGAACACCGGCGCTGCGAGCGGTGTAATAATACAACTTATTACTTACTTATTATCGTTAGAACACTGATTAGGAATATGATAAATGCAATGTCACGTAATTTGAGCAGTTCGATGCGCCTTCTTGCAAGACCACGAGCAATAACCCTGATGTTTGATCTTTTCAGCTGGCAGTCCCGAATAACTTTTTGCATTTTTACCTAGACCACATTTCATTACAACTCTCCAAACTGGGAAAATAAAAAGGAGTTTCACCTTCAAGGAGGCAAGACTGGGTTTGATTCAAAAGAGACCAAGTTACCGACCTACTAGAGCACATCCTTCTCCAAAATCTGTCTTAGTATGGTGATCACCCAAAAACTCAGGTTTATCGTCATCAATAAGACGGCCGGCTCTCTGTACTCACTGATCACTGACAGGAAATATCGTAGCACATCACGGGGTCGTCAAAAGTGGAAGAGCCTTATTGGTCCTTCTGCTTCTATGCAACCAAATTGTAACAAGGAGGGATACAATGCAGATGCCGATTATGTTCGTGAGTTTAACGCAGAGTTCTCCGAGGCAAGAATTGGTATCCTAGGTAATGAAAAGAATGATTGTCGAAGCTGTGATTCTAGAATCAGATTCGGCACAGGGGGATATTCTCATGAAAACAACACTTGCCGCAACGCAGCCAGACCTGGAGGAGATAATGGAGATAAAAACACTAACGCTATGGGCTATATATTGGTGCTGTAGCAAGAAAAAGGAGTACAAGAGGAGGAAAATGTAAATAGCATCAGCACCTCAACCAAATGTATAGATGGTTGAAAACGGACAAAACCTAACAAACAAACAGAACTACATCAATGATAATAATGATAATAATAATAATGACAATAACAATAATGATAATAATAATAATAACAGAACATTGGAAAGAGACAAAAAATACTAGCAAACGAACAAACAAACAACAAACAAACAAAAGAGGGTCATGCTGTGGTTTTGCCTTTCACTGTAACTTAGTATAATGAAGGTGTTTTTCGGTTGATTGTTCATCAATATCATAAAGAGCTGCTTATTTGAGAGCAATGAGAACATTATATAATGAAGAAAGGGAAAAAAAGCAGCACCTTTAAAGAAAAGAAAAACATTGAAAATCAGAATGAATAGCTAACTTTCCGAATCAATGGTAAACATGTGGTCGTCATAATCCTTATCATTAATAATCTTAAGCGGCAAGCAGCAATGTTCATCGAACCTCAACGTTGAGATATGAATATGTGCGAGGTTTGTCTCGGATTTTTTAGAAGAATTAGGACCTGTATACTTGATTGTTTCTCTTGTTTGTTTGTTTGCTTGTTTTCTATTCCCTTTTAAACCCCGTAGTGTTGCCGCCTGCTTTAGTTATTGTTCAGGAAACTTCCTTCGCCAATAAATGTTTAGAGCCTCAAGACTGATCCTTTTCTGTTAAATTAGCCGTTAGAGGATCTAAGTAAAACAATACTGAAAACGTTCTGTCACCTCGTTATATTGATTGTATATTACCAGGAGAACATATATTCCCTTTATATTACTTAGTAAACCCAAACATAGTCAGGGGAGCACGAATTTGCTAACTTTTAAGAATACAATGATTATTGTCACAATTTCCATTCAAAGTTTGATAATCGTCTACTGTCTTCTATTACACAAATTTCTTGATAACAATTTTTTTCATCACCCAGGATATCCCATATGCAAGGCATCCTAGTTGATGTTAAATCGAATCAAGCCGAACTGTTCATGTATTTGCATTTATTTTCCAAAATCACCTTGATGATGAAATCTGTGGGTAAAATCTATTTCACTCTCACTACACTCTGGCAAGCAGGTGTTAAAAAATGCCAGCGGGGAGGAGGTTAACTTACACTCTGGCTGATATATACATGTATATTGCATGAGTACTCGTCTCGATTTGTTACTGCCCAAGCAGTAAGTTTGAAACGAGCAGAAAACTGGGGTTACTCTGTAATTTGTATAATATCTAAAGAAAAAAAGAGGTTACAACTTACATTTGGGTCATGGAGTTTATCTGTATTCTTTTTCTTCTGCTAGAAATCTTCATCCTATTTCCTATGATTGCAAGATCCCAAGGTCAGTTTTTAATCAACTTAACAGAATATTACCTTTCTACTGGGTTTTGCTTTTGAGTGAAGGGATTGCGTATATTGGTAGTTATTCGGTAGATTTTTGAGTATTCATGTCAATGTTTTTCTTTTTTTTAACTTTACAATAGAAAAAAAACCCTTTCAGTTAACCCAGCCTTTAAGTTTAAATTTGAATTACTAATTTTCAATCTTGCCTTCGTTGTGGGGAGCGTCACTTACAACAAAAGGGATAGCATTCACGCTCACGGCCTCTTTAGGAACAAGAATCACGTCATATAACAAGATTCGTACATATAGGTTATCTCCAAAGAGCATTAATGTGCAAGATATTTTTTACTCAACTCGGTTTATTTTTTCCTTCCAATCATAAACAAAATAACAAAGAAGGAAGGAGGTTTTAATTTTTTTTTTGTTGAATGAAAATGACTGGAGTGCTATATTGAACATATCTCAAATAAGTGTGATATACTACTGGGCCAATCACCTCAGTCTTGGCCGATATGAGCTTAGACTTTAGGTCCATTCTCGTATGTTATTGCTGATTGAGTGTAAATTATTTTTCCTTGTTTACTCTAAAGGTGGTAGCATTACGTAGTCATGAAATACAGTAGAAGTCCGCTTACTCGAACCTGGTTAACTCGAAACCCCCGCTTACTCGAACAAGATCCGATCTCCTTTAGATTTGACCCCATTTTCCCGATAATTTGCTATCAGCTAACTCGAAGTACTTTAACTCGAGTCAATTTCACACTCCCTTGGCGCAAATTTACTCTGAAGACCCGAACTCTGTGCATAGAACGTCAAGTTTCACAACACAGCTAAATAACAAGTCCTAGTCCAACATTCGGGATTGATATGAACGTGATAACATTTACGAACACGCAATACCTTTAGCTTAACATCCCAAACTAAAAGTTCTGTTGATCGTGCAAGATCGGTAAGGCCATGAATCTGATTAAATATTAACAGAGTAATTGAAATTCAAAACAATACCGATAACTTAATCTTCGCTAACTCGAGTCATCTTTTGTTTCCCTTGAGAGTTATAGTTAGAGGAGTTCCATTGTACTCGATTTACGGTCACTTCGTTCTATGGTCATTTCGTTCAAAGTCACTTCGTTCCATCTAACGGTCAATGTTTTGCACAAAATAGTCAGTTCGTCCCTCGAAATGGTCGCTTCGTTCCGCGAGATGGTCGCCTCGTTCAAAAGAGCCCCTTCGTTCCACACTATATTTACTACGTTTTACTTCTTAGTTTCCTTTCTTAAGGTATCATGTAAATTCTAACGAAGGTCTGCATATGTACGTCATTTTGAATTTTTGTGGAACCCATTCCTTACCTTGTTCTACAGGATAGAATAAGTGTTAGTCATTGCTTTCATGTTTATGATATTCGTGCTTTTCAGAAGAAGACCATTGCCGTCACCTCGAGTTTAAGCCAGAGAGGGCCTTTGACGGGAAACGCCTGGTAAATCATATAATTCGCATAGCTGAAGTCAAAGTAAAGAAGTTCTGTGAAGCGGAGTGTCATATGGAACCTTACTGCGTCAGCTTTAATCTTGACAAACGAATGGATGGAAATGGGAAGTACAAATGTGAGCTGAATGATGTTACTCATGAGAGACACGAAGACGATTGGAGAGAAGATGAAAGCTCTTTTTATTTTGCTGTCGAGGTAAGTGTCTTTTAAAGTAAAACGTTCTTAGTTTGGCTGAAATTTGGCTCATTTATCTATATATGCACATGAAAATGATGATGGTGATAACTACGATGACGTTAATTCTAATTATTATCATTAGCAGTATTATTATCATTATTATTATCACTATTATCGTTATTATTATTATTATTATCATTATCATTATTATTATCATTATTATTATTGCTGTTAACGTCTTTGTCAGAATGCTTGCCTTGAAAGTCCATGCAAGAACAACGCCACTTGTCAAAGCGGTTTTACCGACAAAGGCTATCGATGTTTGTGTCCTGCTGGACTCAAGGGTCCGACATGTGACGAAGGTACATGTAAAAATATCGCTATGAGATATAATTATATTTGTTTTTGTTGTTGTTGTTGTTACTCTGAAATCAGCATGCACGGGAACGTTAGAGTAGCGAAGACTTCTTCTTGGTTCCGTTTTGAATTCAAGACAAGAAGACAGACCTAACGAAATACATACACACACACACACAC